AATGTTCAGAAAGTTCAACGGACAAACGCCATGAAAGGCCCGTGTGGCCAGTTTTGAGGTAGCCTTCGATCAAGAAGCATCAAGGCCGAATCAGAAGGAGTAGATCTCGCCAGAAGAAGCTCGTGGAGTAACCGGAATGGATACTGCACCCCCAACATGAGAAACTCCACCGTACTCCGGCGCCGTAGCGATGACATGTGGCAGATCAAAGTTGATACCCTTAATATGAGGATGCACCTTCACGATCTCACCCATGGCTGCCCCGGTCCCACCTCCCACATCAACCATCGATCCGACGCTACAAAACCCGTCTTTGTATCCTGCCATGATCGCCTTCATCGTGATCTTGGCCGTACATCCCATCCCATCATTGAAGATCTTGTTGAATTCTGGGTTCATGGAACAATAGTCCCATATCTCACGGCCATGAGCCTTTTGGAATGCAATACCACCTTCTCTCACACAGTTGCTGAGGTAATGCCAGGGGGCTAATGCCCTGTGATCGTTCTCCATCATAAGCATTGGAGCTAGGCTGAGTTCTGCGCCGTGTAAAAGCCATCTGGACATGTGGGTTGGCCCGTAGAGAGCCTCTCCGCCGTCTGATTGAGGAGTAACGGTGAAGATCTTTCTGCGGACCAGCAACCTCATGATACGCGCCAGGCAGGTGATATCTGGGGAAGGAGAGTCGATGATCCCGGCGGCGATTTGGGACAAGGTGATTGGGGAGCCGTGAGAGTGTATGATATCTGCTATGCGGAGCTCTACAGCAGATTTAAGTGCCATAGAGTCTGCAAAGTAGTACATGTATTTCCATATCTCTGCTTGGGCTTGTAGCATTCCCTCCCCATCAAAAGCTTCCTTCTCTTCCATTCTCTCTCTCTCTCTCTCTCTCTCTCTCTGTGTGTGTGTGTGTGTTTGTATGTATATGTAAAGAAGAAGTGATGGTGTGAGGATAAGAGATGTGCGGTGTGTTGCTTTTATATAGGAAGTGAAACATATTTCGTTGGTAAATTATTGCATTTGCAAACAGGAAGAAATTAATTGGTTGATCACAAATTAAAAATTAATCAAATATATATATGGGGAGATCTAGCCACATATTGTTAGTGTTTGGCAAAGGCTAATTTATAAAAATATAAAATAGGCTAAAATAATTAACAAGATAAATGTTACATCAAATTTATAATTATTTCACTTTTTTTTTTTTTCACAAACATCACATTCACTTGAAAAAAAAAAAATCTAACCAACTTCCCAAACATAAATATTTTAACCTACTAAAATAGCTTAATAAAATAACCAATTTTCCAAACAAGTCCTTATTATAATTTTTTTTCTAAACCACAAGTACGACTAGTGTAGTTTTTTTTCTTTTTTCTTGGTGATAAATTTCACTTATTTATATTTTGATTTTTGTGTCATTTTAGTCTCTATACTTTTGATTAACTTAATTTTGACTCTTAATTTTAGATTTTGTGTCAGTTTAGTCTAAATACTAATGACATTGGTGTTTTAACAGAAAATGATCATTGTATTGGTTGATGTTAACTCACTGAGTTGAACAAGTTTATAATTTTGTACTTAAAAGTATGATACATGCCATTTATATGTGTATTTTGTATTAAAAATTGCTAACAATTTTAATCAATTTGATTAAATTGAGAAAAATTCATAAATTTATTGTCAAAATTAAACCAATTGAAATTATAGAGACCAAAATAACACAAAAGCAAAATATATGAACAACTGACACAATTTATTTTAAAAATCATATTTACCATCAACACAAATGTAATCCGATCAAGTGAATATTGATATCCAATCAACGTGGTTTTCTACAGAGATGAATTACTTGACGAGTCCCATTGATACAGGCTCCGTAGTGAGCTCACAGAGGCCTAATAACACTCTCTAGTTCGATTTGGATTGGAGAGGAGTCTGCTCCCTACAGTAACCTGTTTTGAAGTTTGTAAAAAAAAAAAAAAAAAAAAAATACAGTTAGTTTTATAGTTTTAACAAAATTACACTAGCATTATTTTTAGTATGGTTAACGTGATCAAAATGAATGTCAATGGTGATAGATACTAAAATAAATATAAATAAATATAAATATTAATGGAAAAAAGATGATAATATTATTTTTTTTTCATTCATATGACTAAAAAATTATTGATGAAAAATAGTCTAACTGCTATGTGAATTAAAATTTTATGATATATTAGTGTAATTATGTCAAAAATATAGGACCAACTTTATTTTTTTCAAATCTCAAGGAAGTGTGTGTAATTTATCCTTTAAATAAGTCATCTGAACAAATTATTCGATTTCATTCTGGTGTCTGGAGTACAACTCAACAAAATTATAGTACTATTAAAAAGAAAATTTTATCTCTTGTTTTACGTATTAGTAAATTTCAAGATAATATTTTAAATCAAACTTTTTTATTATGTGTTGATCCCAAAAGTGCTAAATATATTTTAGAAAATGATGTTCAAAATATTGCTAGTAAACAGATTATATATATATATATTATTACAATAATGAAATATTACAAGAGAGAAGTGCATTTCAAGAAACTTCCCACCCTTCATCTTTCTTGTAATTTATAATTCTTAGGGTTAATAAGTAAATAGTTCATTCTTATGGAGTCATATGTTATTTAGTCCAAAGTTTAATATTTTTTGGTGATAAAGACAAGCATTAAAAAGTCATTAGAAAAGTTATCGAAAAAGTTGTCAGAAGTGGTAGCTGGTGGTAGTAAGGTAAAAAGATAGGTACACATGTACAAATAATGGTGTAGACGCGCCCCGGGAACTGTCCGATATCCACGCCTGCGATGGTGCGAATCTCGTTTTGTTCTGAGCTACTACAGTTTGGACACAATGTCACGGTTCTGAATCTAATCTCACAAAGTGTAATGTGAGACCGATAAATCACCAAAGAGTTCAAATCCGGCAAATCGTTTTGGAAAACTGATTTTTATAAAGAAGTGCCAAACATAGACTGCTTTGCCAGATACAGAATCCCCACCTAAATATTTTATTTTGGGGGAATTTTAGGAAATCCTGACTCATGCCTAAGGCCATGTGTCCATCATCACCAAAGTTGCCTCGGCTCGGGAACTTGGATACGAGAGGGGAAGGTCATGCAATGAGCACCCCCGTTCGCCCGATCAAAGATCAGCATGTACTAAGCATGATATTTTGTTTTTAAAAACACATGTGCTCTTATTCCGGTTAATTAGCTAATCTTATTACGTGATGCACATAGCATACAAGTATAGACTAGATCGCCTAATTTGGAACAAAACATTGCACGTTCGTTTGTAAAAATGATTCGAAGTTTGCTACTCGCAAGTAGGCTAAATCGGGGATTTGATGAATTGTTCTAATTCAAGTAATCCAACCTTCACCCATAGGCATTCAGGCAGTTATATCAAATAAGCAGTTAGCCTCATGACAAGCATGTTTTCATGGCAACACTAACACACATGTAGTATGCTAAAGCGTAAACACTCACAGTGTACTCCAAGCTAAAACAAAGAACTAGTTAGAAATCATGCATGATCCTAGTTCATGTTAAGATGGCTAATGCAATACATGCAGAAATGCAGTTAAGATAGGCTCGGCTGTCCTAAGATGTCATGTGAAATGCAGATTGATAACATGTATTCAAGTTGGAATTGAAATACAATGTAGCTAGTATGATGCGCCGAGCCCGGTGCATGCAAAACAAATGCATGATGCACACATGCAAGCATAATGTATGCTAACAAAATATGCCCTAAAACTAACCATCGTAAGCGGTTAAGTATAAGGGAGAAAGAAGTGGGGGTTGAAAGACATACATCACACACACGCACGCTTATTACAACAATTGGCCCTCTCAACGGAGGGTCCGAATAAGAAGCTAACTAGCTAATCTAAGCTAATTAAACTAATTATTACATCACAAAACTAATTAACTAACAGGCTAACTAGTGAAGCTATTACAACACAAATTGAATAGTTAAGCGCATTAACTAATTAAGTACAGACCAAAGCATAAACTAGCTAAGTAAAGCAATAAAGCAAGGTCCTCAGAGGGAGAAGAGTGTATGCATGCTCGGTCGCTTCATTTTGAAATCCGTCGCGATGCCCCAACTTGCCTCTGTTCGCAACTGTTCTCAGAAACTTGCACCAAGCTCCAGAAAGGTTCTAACTCATCTTGGGGACCTATAGGAGGGTGGCCGACCAGTTGTTGGTGTGTGAGACCACCTGCCGACCACTTTTTGTTGTTGCAGGGCAGAAAAAGTGGTCGGCCAACTAGTTTTTCTGGCAGGCCGACCAATTGTTGCTGCATTCTTCCAATTTGCTGCAACAGAGAGCAAGAAAGGGCATGGCAATGTATTTGCAAGGTATGTGTGCACAACCATCCTCCCTATCATTTCATAAGCTTAAGGGAGTGTGGTTCTCGACCCTCGGGCCACCAATCACGCATCTCAATGCATGATGGCCGAGAGGCGAAGTTGCACAATTCAATGTAAAATGAATGCACACATAAACACATAAATGCCTAGAACTCTATCATGTATGATCAAGAGCGTCGGCGACCGAGAATTGAGGTACATTTCATCACTTCAAGTATGAAACGTCCCTCGTTTCTCGTGTTTGGACTAACACCTATTCCAAACACAATGTAACACATAACATGGCATACGCAATGCAACTCAAGCATGCAAACATGCAATGCAACTTAAGCATGCAAACATGCAATGCAAATGGCATGCAAACATGCAAACAACAGCTAGCATACACAATGCAAATGACAACTAGCATACATAATGCAAATGGCAACATAGCATACACAATGAAATGAACATGGCATACACAATGCAATGAACGGCATGGCATACTCAAAGCAATATGACCTAAGCATGCAAACAACATGGCATACACAATGCTAAATGGACTTAAACCAAAAGTGGATAGACCTCAGCCATGCCCAAATCAGTGGCCATAACACCAAAACAAAGGCACAAAAGGGCAAGGCAAACATGCACATGCCTTGGCCTATCAAGTAGGCCTAAGAGCACAACTCTCAAGAGTGCTCAAGGAGTGACAAACATGGAAGTGTGACAATACTAGATGCATTGAAATAAGGTATGAAATGATGCTAAATCATTCAAACAAAGTAAACATAGCATGCAAAGGTTCTTAAAGCATGAAACTAGTAAAAAGGACTACAAAGAAGGCATGAAATACATGGCACAAATGCATGAACCAAACATGGAAAGAGTTGAAATAGGTCTAAACAAAGACCAAAATATGCTAAGATGGAGGCTCAAGGACCTAGGCAAGATGGCATACATGCTAGGCCACAATAAGGCAACAATGCACAATACTCAAAGGCATTCAAAGCATGAAAGAAGTGGGAACATAGCCATGCTATAAGCTCTGAAATGAAGTATTAAATGATGCCAAATCATCTAAATAGCTCAAAGATAGCATGCATGAGTCATCAAAACACAAAGCTAGCAAGGCCAATTGCACTACAGCTATACAAAGCATGAAGCATATGGAAAATGCAACCCAAAACAGTCCTAGAACATGTCAAAATGATACTAAAACATGTATGGAAGGAAGCCAAAACAAGCTAGCATGAAAGGCATAAGACATGATGCATACAAGGCAAATAAGGTGGATTACACTACACCTATTAAGACCAAGCATGAGATGACTTAACCAACAAAAATCAGAGTTATATCATGGAAAAATAATCCCAAAAACACATTGAAATGATAGCTCGCAAGCTTAGGCATGAAGGCATACGCAATGACCCATGTTTAAGGCATAAAAGGCAAACCCTCCAACGCATTGAAAGAGTGACAAATGTGAGTGCATGAACATGAAACATATACTGAAATTACATAATAAATGATACCAAATCATTCAAATAAG